GTTGGAGGGGAAGGGGCCCCGGCTCCTCGGTCCGTGTCTCCGGTGCCGTGCTTCGGGAGCGCGGTGCGGGAATGCGGCTTGGTGTCCGGCGGGCAGGTGCCGCGGTGACAGAACTGTGCCGTGCGCGGCCGCAGGCACCGCTTGAGGCGAGGGGTCGTGTGTTGACAGGAATTCTCTGTCTCTGCAGTTCTTAAAGAACAAGATCGGGAAGAGCGAGAAGGCTGCCGTCGCGTACAGCCAGCCTGTTCACGGGTTCCATCTGTGTGAACCACCAAAGATTAACAGACAGAAGAGTAAATGTACCATGCCACTGACCAAGATGACCTCGGTGAAAAAGATAGAGAACTTTTGGCAAGATTCCGTATCGCCAGAAGTAATGCAGAAGCAGGAGAAAAAGCCACTTAAAAACACAGAGAACTTCAGAAATGCCAAGTCCAAGAAACCTGTCGCCCTAACTGAAGCGAGCCAAAAAGAAAACTATGCTGGGGCAAAATTTAGTGACCCACCATCTCCTAGTGTCCTTCCAAAGCCTCCCAGTCACTGGGTGGGCGGCACAGCTGAACCGTCTGACCAAAACAGGGAGTTGATGGCAGTCCATTTGAAAACTCTCCTCAAAGTTCAAGTCTAGTTTCCAAGATATCTTAAGTAATTGTCAAAGAAAACTCCATCCAGGAAACTTAAACATGCCTTGTTGCAACAAAAATTGCAAAAGACTGTCAAGTCTTATAATCCCATTCAAAAAAATCCTTGTATTATATTTTTTATGGTTGTGTAAATAGTGTACATCATGTATTATGTGTATATTCTTGTTCATACTTTGAGAGGTACATTTTAGTTTTGTTATGAAAGGATGTATTTTGTACTGCCTGCGTGGTAGATGTCTTGTATATAAAATATGGACAATTTTAAGTGTGTGCTTGACACATGAAGACTTGACTTGATTTGCACAAGGTAATGAAAATTTTGAAAGGAGAGTACAGCTTCCTGATTTTAAGGTTCCAGATCAAATGTGAATATTTTATTCATGCACTACTGACAATAGTTTCACATTCTCTGTCCCAATCAACTACAAACATGGAATTTTCATACAAATGTGAAGTTTTGCTCTCTGCTCTGGAAACAGTATCTGTAATTCCTGTTCGTCTGTTTGTTTTAAAATTAACTGGAATTTGAGTAAAATTCCAACCCATCAATTTGAGCACTGCTGATTCCTCTAAAGAAAAAAAAAAAGTAAAAAAAAAAAAAAGAGCAGAGCTTTCTGCCAAAAATCCAATTGGTCATTAAAAAATTAAATAAAACAATTTGGCCTCCCCTTAAGCATGTCTGTGTTTTGCTTTTGTGTGTGTGTGTGCGTCAGTTCAAGTATGTGAACTTAAATTACTTGATTGCCTTCTAGTGCATCAGTAGGAATATTTTATCCTTCTCAGCCTTAACTATCCAAATAATTAAGAGATTACGTAGCTCATTAAGAATTCTGTTTTTAAAAAAATGTTTCCTTTGTGATATGTGATTCTAGGTTCCTTATCCTTTTGTTTCTTGAAAATCCATATTTCAAGAAAGTTGAGCAATTGCACATGCAAATTCATGCTGCGGTGCTCTTTAACTGTTTTCATAGTAAGTGGTTATTAAACTAGTCAATACTGAAAAGTAGCAATGACGGAAAGATATGGATGGGGGCAAGTTAAATGTGGTATTTTTCACCAGATCTGTCTCTTGCTGATGGCTATGCTGGAAATTACATTCCTCTGTTTTAATAAGAAATTGGACTGTAGGTTAGTCTGACAGGCACGTTGAGGAGATAACATAGATTTGTAGTTATTTTACTAATCTAGTATTTAAATAAGATGAATAAAGCAGGAAATATGTGAAATTTGCGTAAGATAGAAAAGCGTTTTTAAGGTTTTGGATCCACTGAAAAAAACGTATTCCCCAGGCACTGGTGTGCTGGGAAGGAAAAGCTAGCAGCAGGGTCCTGGGTGCTGTGGTTCCTTAGCGTGAGCAGTGGTGTCAGAGACTCCGAGTGAGCAACGTTAGCTACGTTCATGTGCACCACTGCTGCCGATGCATAGCATCACTTTGTTCCGTGCGTGTGAATTGGCAGTATTTGTTAACATAGCTTTGAAATGAGATTGGTCAAAAGCTAAGCGAGAATTTATTTGCTTTGTTTATAGAAATTCTTCCTTATAGTGCTGCTAGGCTTTTCAACTACATATGCTCTAAACTAAGAGTTCATACAAAATTTTTAGTCTGCCCAAAGACTTCCATGTTCACTGTCTTGCAAAATAGACCTGTGTTACTTGATTAATGATGGTACATGCTTGAGGTAAATGGATCGCTTCAACAGCCCAGTTTGCTGCCTAATGTAAATACTCCAGAATTAAGCATGTCCTAGCTTGTCTTCTAAAAACAAAAATCCTCCTTTTCTAATTTTTTTATTAACAGTATTAGGGCAAAGGAAAAACTCTAGTAGCCTCTCAAGAAGGATGACTCACGTAGACTGTAAGTCCCAGTTTACTATATTTGGTATATGCTGTATTAATGTGCTGTTGTGCTTTTTTTTTTGTTCTTTTGCCTGAATGTCATCGGGCGCTAAGGAAAATGCCTCTAACAATTCCCTGTGGCTTTGGGCAATGGTGGATTTGGTCAGCTGAACTTGTGATCATCTTGGATGTTGATAACTAGCTTGACAAGAGCTAGTTTCCATCAACCATGTAGGCTGGCCTTAGTTAAAAGGAGGAACCCTTTTTTTCCCCTGATTGTTATCTCTCTTACCATCAGCCTTTTCTTCCCAGCCCCTTGGAGCTGGCATCAAATTACCCCCCTGATTGTTACCTCTCTTACCATCAGCCTTTTCTTCCCCAGCCCCTTGGAGCTGGCATCAAATTACATAGTTTGAATGCTAAAACTCTGATCCTATGTAAAATTTACCAGTGTAATGTACCATTTTGTTTCTACCCTGATATAGTGACACACCTCTGGGGATTACAGAGTTTGTCAAATGTGTCAATAGTTCTCAGCTCTCAGACAATTCTTTCAAAGCTGTTGGATAAGACTTTTGAAGCCTTGAAAATTTAAAACTTTCCATACCAGGTTGGACCATAACCATTTCTAGGGTAAAATAACAATGTTTCATCTGGTCTTTCAAAGCAGTGCAAAAAAAAAAAAAAAAAAAAAGTTAATTTAGCTTACTTATACATCAGTATTGCTGGTCCTGCTGTGACCTGGTAGAAGTGTTGGGGCAGTTTTAAGATCTTTGGGTTGAGTCCCTTCCTGGCCAATGGACTCAATTATAAAACTAGGCCTATGTGCAATATACACTTCAACAAGATTGCCTGAAAAATCAGGACATATAATTTCTTAGGACCATATTTCCCACGTTTTTTCCTTTACCTTTCTACAGTATTTTCCTACAGGGATTTTCACTTTTCAAGGTTTCCTTCAGTTTGGCAGATTTCTCATCCCAATTCTGTGAAGGCGAGGCATTACATTCCGTGAACGTGCTACTGTTTGAGTTCAGAGCCAGTAAACGAAAGACAAACATCAGTGTCACGTTTGGAGGACTTCTTTGCAATATAGTATAAAGTCTTCTGAAGTGAACAGCCTTACAGGAAGAAAATTAACAAACTTAGTGGATGTGTTATCATGGGCTGGTCATATATCTGCTGTCCAGGAATTAAATAAATTGCTTATTAAATCTACTGAGTTCAGACACAGTAGGGCAACTGAATGTATTGCATTTTGGTTAGATAGTTAAAAATCTTTTCTGCTTAAAATATGTAGTGCAATGCTGTGCAGATCTGAAGGGGAATCAACAGTGTGAGTTAACTACCAGGTTACTTTTAAACAGTTAGATGTCATGTGCTGATGGGCCTGGAAAATTAACTTTCATGAAGGACAGAAGTATCTGTTGTTGGGTATTCATGCGTGGCTAAGTTTCAGCCCGTTAGACAGCTTCATTAATAACGGCTGTCTGGGTGCTCTGTCTCCTAACGCAGCAGGAGCTGGAAATCCCATGTGCATTTGAACTCCATTATACCAGTAGCTCTTCAGAGATGCTGCTCAATTCTTAAGTAGTCTGTATATGAGGCTGTAACTTTTTCCACAAATTGGATTTTATTTCAGCTGAGTAATATTTTATCCTAGTAGTACCATTTTAAGCAGTTCTTTAATTCTTTTCAGAGGGTATTTTTTAAGCTTTTGCATTATAAAGCATTTGATACCTGCCACACTCCAGGATTTTTTTTCTGCTTTACCCGCTTTTCAGATCAAATAGGAAGCCTATAGATTATATGAATCCTGAAGAGTGCACATGGGTTTTCATTGTCATTTTGGAAGTAAGTTTACCTTTATTTCTGGATAGAAAGTCTTGACACTTCCATCATGCAGGTAAGCACATTCCTTATTTTCTTCTACAACCGCTTGTACTCTTTGATTTCACAGTGCGCTCTTTAAATATTTTTTTCATAATATATGCCTGACTGAACTATTTAAAGGGAATTATTTTTGTTGTAATTCTTAAGGAGGCTTTATGTTATGAATAGGCTGGTCCTTACCCTAGAGCGGCTAGGAGGTAAGCAAGTAAGAGGGAAAGGTTGTAAAATGTTAACATTTATGGTGAAAATTTGATGCTACCTTGTTGAACAGGATATTTTTGATAGCAGGAAATGTTTAGTTGCTGATTCAATAGAAAAGATGAATGAAGGGAATATCCATCAATTAAGGAGAAATACATTATCCGATAAAAGGACCTAACTACTGGGGCTGAGCAGCAGAATGTCACAGCAATGCAGAGGCTGTGAACTTCTTGTTTTGCATTGACAGTGTAGAGGAACATTGTCAGAGCTATGGCAGGAAGATCAAGAATTCAGCTGAATTTGAAAAAAAAATCCTCAGGAATTAATTTGCACAGTGAACACGTCTTAGCAGACTTATTTCTTCCCCTGTGCTGAAGTCAGCATTCCTCTCAAACTTTTTTTCCATCGAGGTGATAAAATCTCATTTATTCAACTCCCAGAAAAAAGGCCTTTAGCTTTTACAGAGCCTTTCATCAGCTTTCATCAGGTGGGTCTATGAACCTTCATTTGTAAGTGGTAATGGCAATGGCCATCAAAATACAATTTACTTTGGGTTTTATTGCTTGAAACAAGACCTAGAGCTACATTCAATAAAGGGCTTAGCATATAGAGTCAGGCCTTTCTGTTCTTTCCTCCCATCACCTGAATCTTGTTTCCTTTACTGCCTGGTGACAGAGCTGCATGAGAAGGAATAAGGTGTGCCCTTACTTAAATTATATATAGCTTAAGATCTGTGATTTGCTTTTAGATATATATATATATATATAGCATGAAGCTTTTGTAAGTTGCGTTCCTAGCATCAGAATATTCAGAAATTGCGTGTTGTGAGTATCGATACATCCTGGCAGGAGTTAATGGAGTAGTAAACTGATAGACATTGTCCAGATTTTAGACATTCTTTGTATGCAAGCTCTAAAGAAAGTGCTGATACATTTTTGAACCCTGTACTAGGAGTGAAAAGGAAAAAGTAACTGAAGAGCCAAGTAGAAAAAAAGGCTCAAAACCAAGGTCAACTAAGAGATTAGAGAGAAGCAGCATAGAAGTTGCCACTGAATTATGTGGGAAGGAAAGATACTGCAAGAAAAAAAAGTCTCTCTCCTGAAGTATCTGATGTTACTGCAAATTTAGGGAATTTTAATGACTAGATTAAATGCAGTTTGCTACCAATTCTTGACTGGGACCGTCTGCGGAAAGACAGTATGAGCTAGCAAGTCTTGTAACTGACTTTTTCTCTGTCTGATGGGTAACTATTATTCATTAGTAGAAACTGCACCTTGGCATGTCATTCTCAATGGCTAGCACTGCTTTAGGTATCACAAAATGCTGTACAAGTGCTTACTGCTCTCAGGTTTCCACAGGTTTTTATAAGTGGTCAGATAAAATTATGTACATGCGTGATAGCAACCTTCACGTTTTACAGCTGGAAAAAACAGGCACACGAACTAGCTTTCTTAGGATCCCTCAGCCTGCTGTTCACTAACTCGGGAAGAGAACCACAGTTTCTGAAGCTCCAGCCATGTTTTTCCTTTGCTACTACACATGGTCGCTGTGTCTTCTTCATCCCACTGTAGTATGTAAAATGCAATGTATATAATGTTCTGCTTTGAAATGTTTGGCATTTGTAGTCATTTATAGGGCTGGTGAGATCAATCAGGCTTTGTGTTTAGGTTTTGTGTACAGTTTTATTACACAACAGCTTTAGTAATTTGCACATGAAACATGACTGTTCTACTTTTCTCC